ACGACCATCTTGGCAAATCCAATTCTTCGGTCTTGGAGTTCTTGATTGAATGTATTGTTAGAACGTTCTCTCCTGTGACCTTTGGGCGATTGTATCAGCTTGGAAGTTTCCTGAGGAAGAGATGGTTGCGTACAGATCATTTAGTCCGTTCTTCTCCTTACTTAATATCCATCAGGTAACCCTCTATGGGGGAAAATGTAAAATATATTTTTTTAGAATTCAGCTCCTGTCAATCTTTTTTTAAATATCAACATCTTTTAAGTAGTTTTGGGATATTGATCCAGTATGATATAATATATTGGTTTTCATTCTGTTCTTGTGGTTCCAGGATAGATCAGTTCAGCTGTGGGCTATCTGGGCGATCCATCACGTCTGCTCCCGCAATCCTCGTCGGTATTGTTCAATGCTAAAGGATCAAGGAGGTCACTCCGTCCTTCTCAACCTAGTCCGGGAACCTGGAACTAATCATATCGTTGCGAACATCACAGAAAAGGTATATTTCCACATTATTTATTCTTCAGACCTTGACGGCCATTTTCAAATATTACTAAATGTTGAAATCTATAGAAACTTATTATGGCAAATCTAAGCTCGATATTTTAGGTTCTCCATACCTTGGTAGAGAACGGTCTTATCCTTCAGGATGAAAACCTCAGAGAGCGAGAAATATTTGTCGGATTCTGAATTCTCGTATAATAATACGTCCTGCTGTTGTAGAGGAGACCGACTTATGATATTTTTAATTAAATCAGAATCAGGTTTTCATATGACGCGTTTACCCGGACGTTGTTTGTGACGTTTTTAACGTTTTTATCGTCAATTATGAATTAAACTGACTTGATTTTATCCTAAAACCTAAACCTTGACTTTTTATTCTAAACTAAGTGTACAAAATAAAATTAAATAACCAATTTCATAGATCGACTTGTGCGACCGATATTTCTAAACGTGTTAAATGTATAACTAATCTAGGATTTAAAAATTGATTATTGTATAGCAAAACTTTTATTAATTTCACATGATCATTGGCTTCCATTCATTTATCTATTTTTACTCTCGTGAACTATTTTTTATTGACTACATTTTATCTGTGATTAAACCTATTCCTAAACCCCTGATTATGTATCAGTTGATCTTACATGTAAAATGATTTCATTAGATGAACTAACAATAATACCTATAAGAATAAGCAATTTATTGGGACTATATTGTAAAAATACAAAGTTAAAATTCATATTATAATTTTAGTTTTCAAATTATTTAGTATTTTCAATCTTTCGCTACATTGTTTGTATAAATGAATGTATACTAATAACATATAAATTTACTTCAGATAAAATGCCGCGGGTGAAAGAAGGAGTGTTATGGATGGGGGGACTTGTGGACTACATGTCGGAGAAGTTCCTTAAGGACGCGTTCAAGAGCCTCGGGGAGGACGACGTAGAGTCTATTCAGATTGTGAAGAACAAGTTTACCGGAGAAACTGCTGGATATGGATTTATATATTTTGATTCCGACGCGAGCGCTCTGATAGCAATGCATAAACTGAACGGAAAGATAATTCCAAACAGTCAACCTCCAGTCAGGTTTCAGCTCAACCATTCCTCGGCCCAGGCTAGTGGGAACAATCCATTCTCAGAGCGCGAGTTCTCCATCTGGGTGACTGATCTACCGGACAACTGTGACGATGAAATCTTGACCAAAACGTTTGCGTCAAGGTTCGACTCCCTGAAGACTGCTAAAGTTATGACAGATTTGAGTCATGGACGGAAACCCTACGGATTTGTCCGTTTCACAAACCAGGATGAGCAGAGAGACGCGCTAATCCATATGAACGGTTTCCGAGGAATGGGAGATAAACCGATCAAGGTGTCCATGGCTATACCGAAGAACAAGGCTGGGAAGGAGGATGAGGTTGGGAAGAAAGGAGGTGGAGGACAATATTCATATTTCTATGAATCCTACTGGGCGGATAAAGCAGCTTGGACAAATTATGCAGCTTATCAGGTATTTTTAAATTGGGTATATATCATTTTTCAAATTCCGGATGGGGAGGGGGGGGGGTGTGTATCAAGACAAGAATCAGACTTAACCTTGCAAGCACTCAAAACCTTATTTTTCCCAACTTACATTAATTAGAATTTGTTTGGAATTTTCATCTTCATTTTCATCTTCATTCTCAGGGTGGGCTAGGAGCTAGAAACCAGTTTATTCACACTGCTAGACAGAACGCAGACAATGCAGACAACTTCCACGCTCCCTATAACGACGACTGGTTGCACGACGAGGAGAACGAGGAGAGGATTATTGAGTGGGATGTCCCGGTAAACGTAGACGCCATGAACAAAGAGTTTATGGAGCGTAGTCTTGATGCTTGGGACGGAATTGATAAAGATCGATGGATCTATAGTTTTGATACAGAGGACTCAATTATACCAGACTTTGATAAAAAGACAGGATCTAAACCAAAGCGGAGTAAGGAAGATGATCTCTTTGCAATGTTGGGTGAGAGAGAAGACGATGGAATGGAAGATATCATCTAGAAATAATTTAGGTTAAAGCATTTAATGGAGTTAAAATTTGTACCTTTTCCAGATAAAATGGATCCTGCTAAGATAGCGGATAATGTTGTGCGTGATGCGATCACAGAGTCAGAGATTACTTTCAAGAAACTTTGGACAGATCAAACATGTGTTATCATCTTTCTCAGAAGGTAAATCAGTCGTTTATCGATCGGTTTATTTGTTATGTTGGTTACTCGTGATTTGATTGGCGGGCGTTTATTCACTGTGTTATATCTTCAAATTATTTTTTTGCTAAAAGTAAAAAGTAGTGCTCGGGATCCATTTAGTTTTGATCCGGATCCAGGTTATTCTGTAAAAGGGGATGTTTTAACTCCAGAATAACCTAATGTTTTGTTAAGATTGATTGCCGTTGGTTTGGAACCTCAAGGGTTGGAGGAGTTTGTTCTAGGAGAGTTCTTCTCCGGAGAACTATTTGTAGATGTGGACAAGAAAGCGTTCTCCAATCTTGGATTCAAGCGTCTGACTTTTCTCCAGCTGTTCCCTGCAATCTTCTCAAAGAAAACAAGAGAAGCAAACGCAAAGGCGAAGGTATATATTAGACCCGCTCTTATTTATTTATTTATTCTCCAAAATTTCTAAAAATACCGTTTTTAGTCTTTAAACCTTGGTGGAGACATGAAAGGGGATGGATACCAGAACGGAGGTTGTATGGTGGTCGGAGCAGGAGGAAATCCTCTCATGTTCTCCTTTAGGTAAATAGATTTAAAATTAATCTCCGAACGTTTTGTCAAGAATGCAAATTTTTTATAATTTGATGAATTTCAGACAAGAAGAACCTTCTGATCATCCTGAAAACCAGCAGATATTGGAGGCCCTTGGCATTTCTTAATTTTTTCCTGTTTTCACATCCACCGAGGAGCTGCTCCTGTTCCTCCTCTTCACTTATTCTCCAGTTCATTCCATCTACTCATCCTCCTGTTTCTTGAATCAACTTACTTCTGTAATTAGCCACTGCTCCAGTTCTGCAAACAAATCATTTTTCAGTTCCTTCTATTAACTCCTGCTCTAGTTCCTTAATTCAACTACTGCTCCAGTTCCGCAAATAAATCATTTTTCAGTTCCTTCTATTAACTCCTGCTCCAGTTCCTTAATTCAACTACTGCTCCAGTTCCATTTATCAGCTCCTGCTCAAGTTCCTTACATCAACCCCTGCTCCAGTTTCTTAAATCTACTACTGCTCCAGTTCCTTTTATCAGCTCCTGCTCCAATTCCTTGTATCAGCTCCTGTTCCAGTTTTAGATATCCACTCCTGTTCCAGTTTCTGATAACCACTCTTGCCCCAGTTCCTAGTAAAAACTCCCGCTTCTTGATATCAACGCTAACTCCAGTTCCTTCTATAAACTCCTAATCCTTATATCAAATCTTATTTAATGATTGTTCATTACTGCACCAGTAAAAGCCAATTTGTTTCTGTCTAGTCACCAACTAAATTTTTTTTTGATATATTTTATTTACCCTCTGACACTAATATATTGATGTTGCATTTACTCATCCAATCAAATTTAATTCAATTGCACAAATTCTACGCAATTTCCAGGATGTTTCTTTTCTCATATACTCGTACACCAAGTTAAAACTTGACCAATCTAGATTTATTAGTTAACTGATTACGAAACTTGATTAAATGTGATTTCACTGTGATATTATATAAGCATGATGTGTATGTTGACCAGCATATGAAGGGTCTGACAGAAATTTAGTTGTCAGGATCCGGATGTTCAGCTGTTCATTAATAAATATCATGTTTTCAGACAAAATGGCCGCAGACAATGAGGAACCTGATCCTCAACCAACCTTTCAGGTTAGTCTAGACTAGAGTCCACACCTTGGTTAAATTACATTTTTCATGTTGGTTAATGAGTGATTTTAAGATGGATTTAGTATAATGAGTCAATAATTGAATAATTATTAGACTATGTGATATTTCAAGATGCAATACTCAGTCAAATTTGTCAAAAATTTCATTGTAAAACAGTCTAAGAATTCAACACACAAAATATTAATCTTAAGTTGAATTGAAAAAATGGTTTGAGTTGTGCTTTTTTGAGTGACGCGGCTGGATTTTTTAAAATCAGACTTTAAAGGCCCTAAATATACCATTTAAAAAAGTAGTTTTGCCCGGAAGAGTCAAATGTGGTGGTACGTAAAGGGAAATAGTGGTGGCTCATGGCTGCCGGAAGAGAAAAAAGCTAATATGTGGCACGGAAGGGGAAATAGTGGTGGCTCATGGCCGCCTGCCTTCCCCCGCTCGTATAATAGAGCGTTTTGTTGCCTTAAAATGGGCAACTTCAAGGCCTCCCTGAGTTTTTTTTAAGCATTTCTGATACTGCTTTTTGTGTTTTTTTTTTTAACTTGCCATCCCCATTTCCCTTCCCTCTTGTCCCTTTTTCCCCTTTTCCCTTCCCTCTTGCCCCTTTTCCCTGCCTTATTCCAATTCCCTCTTTTCTCTTCCCATTTTATTAGAGGTCAAACACTGGATACTGTATTCCCTGGGTTCCTAGCTTTCGTTTGATATGCATAAAGCAATAGTTAAAATATTTTCTATTTGTGGAGGTCATTAGAGGACATTAAAATTCAATTTTGATTTTATTTTAGGAATTTCGATCACTAATTAGGCGTGCAGCCAAAAAAAATTGGAGATTTGAATCAAAAATTAAGGCAGCCCCTCCCCCCCCCCTTACATCATTTGTGCCATCTCCACCATCCCCTTTACTGAATTTTTTTGACAAATCAAAGTTTTCAAATTTATATCCGGATCCTAAGCACTGCTAAAAAGTTCACACTATTTTTCTCAAGTAATTATTTTCATTTCGCAGGTTTGGGTGACCTTTCTGTCGGCTGGCGGCCAGAGAGATATCTCTGATACACGACCAGCTTAAACAGCACAACGTCAGGTTAATATTTTTTCTTTCTCTTAGAATCTTACAGGGCGTATAGGAGGGGGGTGCAAAGGGGTATTGGCGTACTAAGACTTACTAAGACTTAATGCACAATTTAAAAAAAAATGTAAAACTTTTTTGGGGGCTAGTTTAATTTGAAGATAAGTTTTTAAATTGCCTTGAGCCTTGCCTGATAANTACTAAACCCATCTTAAAATCACTCATTAACCAACTTTGTGATATTTCAAGATGCAATACTCAGTCAAATTTGTCAAAAATTTCATTGTAAAACAGTCTAAGAATTCAACACACAAAATATTAATCTTAAGTTGAATTGAAAAAATGGTTTGAGTTGTGCTTTTTTGAGTGACGCGGCTGGATTTTTTAAAATCAGACTTTAAAGGCCCTAAATATACCATTTAAAAAAGTAGTTTTGCCCGGAAGAGTCAAATGTGGTGGTACGTAAAGGGAAATAGTGGTGGCTCATGGCTGCCGGAAGAGAAAAAAGCTAATATGTGGCACGGAAGGGGAAATAGTGGTGGCTCATGGCCGCCTGCCTTCCCCCGCTCGTATAATAGAGCGTTTTGTTGCCTTAAAATGGGCAACTTCAAGGCCTCCCTGAGTTTTTTTTAAGCATTTCTGATACTGCTTTTTGTGTTTTTTTTCCCATTTTCCCCTTCCCTCTTCCCTTTTTTACCTTCCCCCTTCCCTTTTTTCCCTTCCCTGTTCCCCTTTTCCCTACCCTTTTCCCTTTTTTCCCTTCCCTGTTCCCCTTTTCCCTACCCTTTTCCCTTCCCCCTTTTCCCTATCCTTTTTCCTTTTTTCTTCATTTTATCCTGAAACCCAATAAAAGCATGAGTATTTGCCACATACTCTGATTTTGTATTTCCTATATTTTTGCAACCCGATGTCGTAGACCGATATTTCAAACTTTAAAAATTCTGTAAGATCAATTAATCTATGTTTGAAATATCAAAGGTTTATACCATTGTGTTGCAAAAATATTGGGATTAGAAAATTGAAGTCTGAATTTCTTAATCTCAGGAGCTGATGAAGAGCTGGGAGGAACACGTCCAGGAGAACAGTTTTGATCCGTCTGAGATATTTCACAAGATGTGCGATATCCTGGAGAAAGAAACCAATGTGTACATTGCGAGCGATCCTGATCCTTTCGAGGAGAGACATCCGTCCCGTGTAGATAACACTTGTCAGCTCGGAATATACTTGAAAACCTTCTTTAAGCGGGAGAACCTAGTGAAGGAATTGTTCCAAAAGTATCTCCGGGAAACCCACTTCATGAAGCAAGGGATCGACAAGAACTCATTTGATCTGAATGTTGCTGCTTGTAGATTAGTTCTGGACATAATGCCAGGTATTAATCCTTAAAATTATAATGAGTTATTTGCAATAAAATGGGGAAAAAACTAATAATTTATTGTTGCAAAAATAATGATGATTTTAGGATTAGAGATTTCAACACTGCAGGAAACAGACGGGTTGACGAACCAGCTTTATAGATGGGTAGAAACAGCTCAGGAACCTTTAACCAGCTTCGCTACAGGTTACAAAATAGATACTAAACAATTATGAGTCCAATATGTGTAGTGTAGACCTAAGGGTGGTAGGATAGGGTTTGTTTGTATTCAAATGCGACGGGTAGTTTTTTATTAAATGTGCCGTGGACCCCCCCCCCCCATCATAGTCATCATAAATCTTCTGTCATCATTTGTCTGTAAATTGGTTTCATTATCTGTTATTGTACAATAAGTCTTTCACAGTTTAAAGATCGGGGTTCATTATTATCCGTATTCCTGATTTGTTTTCTTAAATATCTTTGTTTCCAGGTATTCTAGCCGTGGTGATGGAGCAGCATGAATTTGCTTCTGAAACTGAGATTAGAGATAGGAACTCCAAGCTGGTTCCGGATCTACTCAAGAAACTTAAAGAACTCCAAGTTCTGGGCGAAGAGGAGAGAATCAAGAAAAGAGAAGAGTTATTCAAACGCCCGTTTGCCCTGTTTTCTAAAAGTCCTCAAAAGCGAAGGATATCAAAGGATTTTGAAGAAACTGGAGATAAACCTGCGGACCAGGTTCAGGTTAAATCCCTTGAATCCTCCCCAGTCAACGGATTGAGCAAGATGGACAAGGTTGAAGATATGAACGGGTAGGGTAATCTATATATAAATTTGGTTTGTCTGTCTGTCTTTTTGTTTGTTTGTATCCAATAAACGTCAAAACGGCTGAACCGATCGGGTCCAAATTTTTTGTGGGACATCACGTGACCACAGGGAAGGTTTATGAATGATCAAAATTTAAAATATTTGTCTCCATCAAAATTCGATCTCCATTAAATTTTTTAAAATTTTGAAAATCCACGAAATTTTTTGTGAAAATCCACGAATTATTTTTGTTTTGTTTTACGATGTACACAAAGAGAACATGTTCACAATTAATTTAGAAGATGGGCGCGAAGGCTAGTCTATATATAAATTTGGTTTGTCTGTCTGTCTTTTTGTTTGTTTGTATCTATTAAACGTCAAAACGGCTGAACCGATCGGGCCCAAATGTGTGGGACATCAAGTGACCACATGGAAGGTTTATGAATGATAAAAATGTTTTAAAGGTTTTTAAGTTTGTAAAAATATTAAATTCTTGAAAATCCGCAAATTTTTTTTAAAAATCCACAAATTTTTTCTTCTTCGTTTTAAACTGTAAACAGAAAGAACATGTTCACAATTTAAGTAGAAGATGGCCGCGAAGCGCCCCTAAAAGCCTAGTTATTGTAACTTCAACAATCACAGTTATATCAATTCCTGATGATAAGAACTCCTTTCATCATTTCTTTTAATCATTCACATCCTAATTCCTCGATGTGGACAGTTATTATTAGCTTTATCAACCCCCTGATCATCCTATTATCCATTTCCATCCTGTTGCTTATATTAATCCTTTCTCAGGACCCAATCCTCATCCCGTAATTCTATAATAGACAGAATGAGTCTTAATTCATTCTCTCCTTCTCGGAGACATTTACCGATCAATTCCCCAAACTTTACACCAATTATAGTTACTTACTTATCTCTGAATATCCAATATTTCGACCAATGAGAGATCGGTTTATCTTCCCTCTAGATGAGAATGATTCAACATATTCCGCCCATTTTAAAGTTTCAAAAACAAACATAATTCCTTATTTCGTCCCTCTGAGATCCCTTTTACTTCTGTTAATAATTGTTTTCAATGTTAAAGTGAAATATTGTCGGAAAAACAAGTAAACTCTCTGAACCCTGGTTGGCCGGGACGCTACAAGTCACCTTCCTACTCTGCAATGTAAGTGTTTAACTTGATCCAAACATATTATGCGTCTAGTTAAAGAAATCAAACCTCTTGGATGAGAAACAAATTTTTCAAAGTAGTTAGAAACATTATTGAAAATGTTTAAGTATTTATTTTGAAAATGTTTAAGACCGAGTAGAGAGAGTTCCAACAGTTCCTGGGCGGAGATGGAACTCAATATTATCGGACACTTTGAGATATTTCCGATCAGTACTCAGACCAAGCAGATATTCATCATGCGTCTACTTACCCCGCTAGCTGAGTATCAGGTAACTTTCCCAAATCACCCATTTATCCTTTGTTCTATTTATAAATCCTCCCAAAAAGAGATCATAAGTATGCAGGAATGTATATTTTATTGAAAAATCCCCCCTTCTCCCTTTCTAAAAACCATTCTTTACAGATTTATAATTGTTTACAATACCCAAAAAAATTTATTTGTGGTTGTATTCCATGAAAATAATGATTTGTATGGGAAAATATATTAATTCTTGGGTGCAAAGATTAAAAAGCATAAAAAAAATCTGCCTTTGATGTGCTATTTTCAATTTTTTTCCCCTGAATATCAAAAATCTTTCTTAAAAGCATACACACCTATCCAAGATTGGGTATTTATAGATTTTTCTATGGCAGGATTTTCTCCCGATGGCTCAGGAAAGTCAGATTCTTACGGTTTTGAAGAAATATATTAACGTTAAAGAAACGCGGGATGCGCGTCTTGGCTTCGAGGCATTGAGATTACTCGGCTCACTCTTCTGCCATAAGAAGTTTACTCTGGAGTGGGTTTACTCAGGTACAGATAATATAACTGAGTAAGCTTATCCAGGTTTGATACACCGGAAGTTTAAACTTACATGTTGCTAATTTATGGATTAAGCAGTTATTTGTACGTTCCGTCGATCAAAGGATTCAACTAATTCCTCTTAAGACATTCCGTTGTCTGAACCCAGCAAGGTTAACTAAAACTGAGGGGTTAATTTCTCCAAAATTCAAAAGTTAACGTGGATATTGCTATCAAACGTTGTAGAACATAAAACAATTACAATGAATTTAACAAGGTGGTCTTGATCTACTGATGGAGATGCCTCGCCCATCTGTAGCTGCCACTGGATCCGCTCTGTGCATCTACTACCTTGCCTGTGACTCGGATACCATGGAGAAAATCTGTGGTCTACCTTATCTTACTTTAGAAAGATTAGTCAAGTAGGATATCATTATTTCGATTATGATTATAATCATTATTTCGTTGTTTTTGTCGTCCTTGTTATCAATATGAATAGAAATAAACTTTTTACTTAAGGTATTGTTTGTGGTTACTGGAGTGCTCTCACTCAACAGGAAGACAATATGCAATCATGTTCTTCGGTTTAGCTTTTCCTTTCAAAGTTATTCTCGATATATTCGATGCTCAGGTAATATTCGGGGTCCTTGATATAAGTGAGATTTTGGTTCTTGAATAATGATTTCATAACGAATTGATATCTTAAATATTTCAGGACGGATTGCGTAAACTTTATAATTCCCTCTCCACTCTCAAAATTCATGGACCACTGGACGACGCAGGGGATTTGGATGACGACGAATTATTTATTCAACGGCAAATGGTGAAATCTGTTTTAAACTCGCTCAAACAATATTTCGAAACTCATCTTGCTATCCGTTGTGAGAGCGAGGTAACCCTTGCCATGGAACAGGACGGGTTCTCTCCGGAGCCCCCCAGACCCACCTGGATACCATACAAACTAGATCCCAACCAAGTCACAGATAAAATTGATACAATGCTCAAACTAATAAACTTCAGAGCTCGATGGCCTCCAGTCGATGAGTTTATAAAACTCGGTGGAGTAGAACTTTTGCTTCAAATTATTGTTAAATCCTATGACTGGATTCATCTGGGTAAAGAAGAAACTGTAAAGCCAGGTCTAGATATTCTCTCTGTTTGCTCAATCCTTCCCAGGGTTCAACTCACACTCTGTGAGAACTTGGAAACTCCTGAGGACAAAAATAACGGAATTCTCATTCTTTTAGCGTGCGCCGAAGGCGAGGTTGTGAACGATCCTAATGTTCAGAAAGCGGCGCTATTGGTTCTCTGTCATATTATCTGTGCTCCAATCAGTAGACCTGGAAGCGTAAAACATCAACCTGAGAAGAGCGCGACTAAAAGAAGATGCTCCGATGATGTTATCAACAGAGTGTGGGAATGTTTCCGATCTAATAACGGTATAATGACCATGCTCCAGCTAATACAAACCAAAACACCTGTATCAGACGCGGATAGGATTCGCGCTCTAGCTTGCCAAGTCCTGGTTGGATTAGCTAGATCTACAACTGCCACCCAGATCATGTCCAAACTGCCAATATTCAATAACGGAGTGTTAACTATGCTGGTGAGAGAACCCGTACTCCCGGATAATATCGCAGAGCATCAGAAATTCCAGAAGTACGCCCAGGAACTGCTGGAAAAGGTGTCGGGTCCAGGATCACAGAAATCCTATGATAATCATGATATCACATTGGATATGTTGCACAGAGCCTCGGTTGTAGCCAATACAAAAATCAGATTCAATAACAAGCAACTTTATCAACTTATTCATGAACATCTCCTACTGAGTGGACTAAAGAAAACAGCTGAAATGCTGAGAAAAGAAGCCGATTTTATTCCTCTAGTATCTGAGAATTGTCCAGCAGTATACTCTGGGAGTATGGTTAGCTCCAATACTCCTCTCCCTGCTCGTCGTCTTCTTCTCTCTCCTCCACCTAGATCCGCCCTTACTCCGAGACAAGTATTCACTCCTGCATCACGAGGATCCATCCAGAGCAGGGTTCAGAATATGTCACAGATTACTCCACAGCGCGTACCAAATCCTAGTCTTCCTATAAGGATCAATAGAACTCCAAGATCTGCCTCAACCACTCCCTTTCAGTTAAGAACCACGCCTAAACCTTATGAGACGGCTACCGGGGGCAAGCAAGCAACTGAACCTACGGAGCAAGAGAGAAAGGTGACCCTAACCTCCCTTGTATCGGACTATTTAAGTAACAAGCATGCAATGTGTAAAAACCCCATGACAACTTGTCCTGAATTCGACCTTTTCTTGCCACATAAATGTCCGGATAAGAGATCTAAACGAGAAGCTCCGACAAACTTTGCCGCCCGGCAAGTTTTGAAGCGTCATCTTCCACCTTTCGGGGGACCAGGAGGAGCAAAGTTGGATAGGAAACTTCTTTACTCTAGGTTTAGACCCGTCAAAGTATTCCGAGCTTCAGGAGACGAGAGAGATAGTAATATGTTCACGTGCTGTGCGTTCTCTGGGGACGGATTATTCATGATGGCTGGAACTAGTATGGGGGAGATGAAGATGTATAATATTAACTCAGGTAAGTTTTCATCAAATTCAAAAATGTTTTTAATTATTTTTCTATTTTTTGTTTTGTTTAGGAGATGAGAGTACCTATCAGATTCATGAGAGTTCAGTAAACCACATTCAGCCAAGCAGAGATAACAAACTAGTTCTTACAAGTTCATCTTGGAGACAACCCTTCTCAAGAATGTGGTCCACGGGGGAGTTCTTCGACGAGAAGTGTGAATACAAGGAAGAGGAGTATGTTGAGTTCTCTAAGCTGATCCAGGATAAGGTTATTGGAACTAGAGCTGATGGAGTTGCAACTGTTTATGATGTTAATACTAGTCAACAAGTTCGACTTCTCAAACCTAGATATTCAAACGAATATCATCATAACCGGGCGTGCTTTGATCCAACAGACGAACTTATTCTCTGCGACGGAGTTCTCTGGGACTACAGGATGAAACGAGAGATTCACAAGCTAGATAAACTAAACCAAAACCTTAGCGGAGTTTTCCATCCCTCAGGGTTGGAGATAATTAGCAACACCGAGGTCTGGGATATCAGAACTTTTCACCTGCAACGGACTGTTCCACAGCTGGATCAGTGTAGAATAGTGTTCAATACTGCGGGAGATGTAATGTTTGGTTTACAACTAGAACAAGAGTTTGATGATGAACCCAAGTTTGATACATCGTTCAGAACCTTTGAGTGCAGTGATTACTCGAGTATAGCAACTATAGAACTAAAGAAATCTGTTTTGGGTCTCTGCTCGAGTTGGAATGATTTAAATATTGCTGTGGTTGAGCAGGTTGGAAACTTTGATTTCAAGTCTTATCGTGGTTAGGTCAAGAAACCATTAATCCAACATATCTGGGTTTTTTTTAACAGTTCTAATTTAAATATTTGCATTTATTAGCCAAATGTTCATTGGGTTGCGGATATTTTTTAATTTGTAATTTGAGAAAGTGTCAAAAAGTGTTAAATTTCCTTTTTGAAAATTTGTCCAGAAAAAGCTGAAGACTTGCAGGGTTGTGCTATCTTTAGCGTGCAATTTTGGAGAAAATATAATGTGATGTTCAGCTCCTTTCCAATATGTGGAAAAACAAGTATTTGTATATTCTGAGAAACGGACTTTTCCTGTTTATTTACCCCGAATTAATTTCTGAATTATGTTCAGGGAAGCTTAGATCTGGTTGAGAGTGTGGTTCGTCTCTATGATGTTGGTCGAGTCCGAGATCTGGAAGAGGATCAGGAGGATGGAGGAGATGAGGAGGAGGAAGATCAGCCTGATTTCTCAGATATGCAAGATGATGATGATGATGATAATGATTGTAAGTATCATTAAAACTTGATTGATTAATTGCCTTAAGATCTTGTCAAGCTGATGGTTTAAGTAAAGAATGATACAATTTTTATTGTATCTGTTTTGAACCGAAAAATATGAAGATAATGCCGTAAAAAAACATCTTTAGTCAGACAGCTTAGAAATTGCAAGCTAAAAACGGGATAAGTTACATCAAAAAATATAATACAGTGGTAAGCAATTATATCAATATATTAAAGACGATTTTTTATTTAAGTTTTTATTGTTAACAAGCTTTTTTTGAATTACGAGTTTACTAGTAATTATAGAGAAGCCTTTTTTAATCGACAGCTTCTCTTTGTTTTCATGTTTTTGTGTATTCATGGTGTTTAAAAGCTTGATATATATCAAAATTTAAATCGAAAGTTGTCTTCATTATATTAATGTAATCGCCCACCACCGTATGATATCTCCTTACGAAGAGATCTATACTTAAAAATTGTATGTAGAAATATATATTTTACTTAATTATTTTCAGTTTTGAACGACAGTATATTTGGATCCAATTCCAACTCGAACTCAGAGGTATAATCTTATTGAAACTAATCTTAGTATTAAATTATGCAACAAGTTCAGAATAAAATTAATTCAATATTAAGGATGGAGATGATATAGAGATGGATCTCGATGAAGAGAACAATGAGGAGGACAATGAAGGGGATGAGGATGTTGTTGATGAAGAAGATGAAGATGTCGAGGATGAGGATGCAGTAGAAGATGATGGAGATGATTCCTGGGAAGATCTTTAGAAGCTAAAATTAGAGAATATTTAACAGGAAAATTGTGATATTTTTTTTATTTTTTATGAAAATATACAAAATTTAAATAATTTTAATAATTTTACATATTATCCTTGTTATTCTTGACGTTAAAGTTTTTCTAAAAATTTGGAAGTGATGACTCGAGGCCTTGTAAGCACTGAAATCCTTTTTTTTACTCTTTTGCAGTTTTATCCTGCAATTAGTAAAGAGTTAGTATATTAAAATTGGATGGTTATACATGTTCAATAATAGGGGACTTAAAAAAAAGATTTAGTCATAACCGGGTTAGCAAAAGTATTTAATGGTGAAAGCTTTATTTTAGAATCCCATGGTGAACAGATAAAGGAAATAGCAGTTAAGAATAATTCAATTACAAGAAGGACACCAAAAATTGACAAAGATTTTAAACATGAGGATGAAGTTTGCTCCGTGTACTGTAGATGAAGTAAAAAAAGTTATTAAAGGATAAAAAATTTAATTATTCTTTTTTTAATCATATATAGACTCTCCACCCCCTGGTCAGGATCTTATGAACTCCATTTAACAAAAATTTTGTTCTGAGGAGGTGTGTACCGCTCTCTGTAAAGGCTGTCAAAGCTCCCCCTTTGTTTACCCCTAGTATCCATGCGCATTTCTGGTATACACATTGAATCCTAAAAAAATCAGGCCAAATCTGAACCACTAGATCCCATTCAGACCAGGGCAAGTGGAGGAGCGATCAGCCCTGTTTTCATTGTATTTCAACTTACAGGTTGATTGTTAATAATAATAATAATAATAATAGTCTGTAATTCATCCTGTTTTTTCATACTAATTAGATTGACTTGTTACGAATTAAAATAGGAATATAATGGGGAAAAAAATAAATCAACCTAAACTTGTTGTGTTTGTTTACAAATAAATTAACCGCCCACCCCGGACTTACTACCTGGCGAGATGCAATCAGTTTCTTTTATTTTAAATTGGTAAAAAACTCGCAATCTTTAATCTCACGAAATTGTTTATTAAGAAGGTGTATGCCGACAAAAAAAAGTATAAAAGAGAAAAGGCCCTGAAATATCATTTAATAGAAAATCAAAAATTATTGTTAAAAGAAAACCAAATAATTATGAAATAGGCTGGTTTCATAATTGACCAATGATCATTTCACATAGACTCTATGCCTTCCACTTTACAAACGATGATTTTCCGTTATAACTATAAATCAATTTATGTTTTTATTCACCATTCTGAACCCTGTAAATCTTACTGCAGTACAATTGCTTAAGATCAGCAAGAATTTTAAATTTCTAAGTATGTTAGTGAAATAATTTTTAGATTAAAAGAATATTAATTTGAGATCTCCAGTTTCAGGGAGGAATAAATGCAACTAACTATTTCTTGGGTCAGCGTACTACAGACTCTGCAGAGGCCGTTCCCAGGGACGCACGAGGGGCGGGGACCCATATAAAAATACTTTAAATCTCACTTTTGCCCTTAACTAAAAAAGTTTCATTAAAAAAGCTTTAATCAATACTGCCTTCAGTCTAAATATATCTTTGATTTCACTATTTATTATTATACAATATGTATCGTTTAAGAAACGTTTCCATCTCTATTTTCACAATTGTTGAAGCTTACACCACAGTATTAAGAGGAAGTGTCTTATGAATCCACTTAAGAAAATTATATAAATAATTTATTAACATTTGTTATATGGTGTATCTATCATAGAATAGCTTTTACATAGTAGAAAAAGGTATCAAATATTTTTTCAATAAAGGGGGCACAATGTTGCCAAGGGGGGCACAAAAAACCCCCCCTTCACAAATGCTTGCCGTACGCCACTGGACCGGTTCCTTGGTCGACAACTTGACGTCTCTTAAATTGGTCGTGTACGCTATCATAATACGAATTTAGCTTGAGATATGTACCATAGCGGCCAACATATCGTCTCCCAAAGTACGCTCTGAAGTAAGCTACGAGAGCTTAGCTTTATGGTGTACACACTCAGATTATTTTCATTTATTATACATTTTACTACAAGTCTGTAGAATATTTAATATTTATCCATATATTTGGCTTCACTATTAAATTATTATTATTTATTATTATTATTATGATTATTGATTTTGATTAAATTATTATGATTATTATTATTATTATTATTGCAAAGATTTATCGTTTGGATCCACATATAGTCCCGATTTTAATTGGAAATATGAATTATAGGATTAATACTTAAGAAAAGTTTCTGCCTGAAAATAGAAGTTGTGAAATCTAATAAAATAATCAAAGCTAACTAGAGAGGTTTGGAGATTGTTTGAATTGAGCGGGTTAAAGTGTACACTGCTCCAAGTGTACAGTGCCGTGTTCTCTAGAACTGAAAAGAGAGGTTTCATCAGTCCAATACTTTAGGTCAACTCAAGCATCCTGTTCTAACAGATTCTGATTGAATTGACCTAGACTAGCGGCAGGTCAGCTCATTATTAATTGCCTTAAATATAAAACTATTTCCAGCCATCTATAATATTGAAATTTCTCTCCACAATTCGTAGGATTTCTGTAATTTGAACATCAACAGCTGTTAGGAAATGAAAAAGGAAATTTTAAATGCTTTCTTAAATAATTAAACCATATTATTTTATTCATATTTAAAGCTGTCTGTCAATTTTATGATGACAAATTGTTTAAAAAAAGGTACGAAAATTAAATTTCTTCAATTTCTTCTATGTCCAATGTCCATACTCGGGTCTGTCCTAGTGAACGATTTTTGGACCCCCCCCCCC